CACCCTGCCTCCCCCACACCCGTACTTTCCATCCCCCACCTTCTTTTTCTTTTGTAATAAATTATGATCATATTGCTTTCTCCAGCATCTTGATTACGCTGTATAGCTTTATCAGGCAAAATCGCCGATCTCTTGACTAGCTTGGGATCCCGTATAATATGAGACATGTCATTTCCAGAAAAAGCAAGATGGAAGGCAGGAAAGAAGCAGCCGGCCTCCTAACTATTCTAAATCATGTTGATGGTTGAGGTGTAAAACATATACGTGAGGGGTGCTGACAAAATGAGTTACTTCTCACAATCCACAAACGGAGATATTGGCCAAAAATCGATACTTAGGTCAAATTTCTAGGATTTCTATTGATGCAATATTCATTACGTATTTAATGCCTTTTGTTATTTCATACTTAGAAATTGTAAAAACTTAACCTATAAGCATGATGTATCTATTTCCATAGGGCTGAAATCCGAGAAGTAACTCATTTAGTCAGCACAATCCACATACAGTTACAAAGCTTTCACTCCCTCGGGAGCCAGGTCTTTTCCTTTCCCGCTTTATTTACCACCTCGGATACAATGCACCCCGCCGCCACCAATGTTTTTTTATATTTTTTCAAACATGCAGCGTGGCATCCTGTTAAACGCTTGTCATGTCCATAAAGATTGACAGTTACTCGCTACAGATGGGTGAGTCCGAGGGGTGGGGGGGGGGTTAAAAAAAAACACTACATGTCTAAAGGAACCTCTGTCTGGATCCAGCCTACAATCGTATGATTGTAATTCCAACGTGTGTGCAGACTGGGACATGTTTCATCCGCCCAGTCATGACTGTCTCAACACTCGCTGTATGTGATTTCCAATATTTTAATGTAGGTGTCTCACGTCCCCATCGACACAATTAAACGATGTGAGGCAGCGTGGTGGAATCAGGCTCTCGTCAAAATAATCAAAGTGAAGAAACTGGTATTTTTCCGCAGGTTTGTGAATTTTTATCAAATTTGTGGGTTTTTTTGGCTCAACACCTTTCATTCCCATTAAATAACTCATTTCTGTGTGAATTTTTTTTTAAAGCGTTGATTAAAGGCACAAAAATGTAAATTTTCAGTTACCACGGACCCTTAAGCTTAGGAAATTACTAATCTTTGGCGGCCATTTTCTCACTAATTTTACCTCTGAAAACAGGTGACCCCCACCTCCTTCTTTCGCAAATATCTCGACTTGCATTCAAGATAAATGGATGGGGGGGTTTTTCATCCAAATTTTAATAAAGACCAGTGAACATGTTTTAAGATGATACCATTAACGCTTTATGCCCAAAAATTGACGAGAGCCTGATTCCACCACGCTGCCTCACAATTTATTTAAGATGATCTAGGACTCGGGCCTCCACTCTGTCTGTCTCTGCTAACCCGCTCAGAAAGAGCTTCCACGTCCATGCAGAACAACTGAGATACTCAATGGAAATTTCCCCTTCATAGGAATCGAACTAAGGACTTGTGCGTGCGATGGCCAAGCGCCTGGCTGATCTCTAGACCACAGACGGCAGTGTTGCCTGTGTGTCTGTGTAAGGGGGGGGGGGA